CCCCCCCCTAGAAACAAAATCTGCAACCCCGTCGTTGTTTTTTGACCACCCCCCAAAAAAAACAAGATGGAACCCACAAACCCGAATGCAAACTCGTTCGAAAAACTAATATGTCCAAATGACACTCTTGTAGGACACTCTTCTGGGACACTCTTGTAGGACACTCTTGTGGGACACTCTTATAGGACACTCTTGTGAGACACTCTTGTGGGACACTCTTGTAGGACACTCTTGTGGGACACTCTTGTAGGACACTCTTGTGGGACACTCTTGTGAGACACTCTTGTAGAACACTCTTGTGGGTCACTTGCAGGACACTCTTGTGGGACACTCTTACACGACACTCTTGTAGGACACTCTTGCGGGACACTCTTGTAGGGCACTCTTGTCGGAAACTCTTGTGGGACACTCTTGTGGGACACTCTTGTAGGACACTCTTGTCAGAAACTCTTGTGGGACACTCTTATAGGACACTCTTGTGGGACACTCTTGTGGGACACTCTTGTCGGACACTCTTGTAGGACACTCTTGTAGGACACTCTTGTGGGACACTCTGTGGGACACTCTTGTGGCACACTCTTGTGGGACACTCGACTCTTGTAGGACACTCTTGTGGGACACTCTTGTAGGACACTCTTGTAGGACACTCTTGTGGGACACTCTGTGGGACACTCTTGTGGGACACTCTTGTAGGACACTTGTGGGATACTCCTGTAGGACACTTTTAAGGGACACTCTTGTGAGACACTCTGGTGGGACACTGTTGTGGGACAGTCTTGTAGGACACTCTTGTAGGACACTCTTGTGGGTCACTCTTGTAGGACACTCTTGTAGGACACTGTTGGTCACTCTTGTAGGAAACTCTTGTGGGACACTCTTGTAGGACTCTCTTGTGGGACACTCTGTGGGACACTCTTGTGGGACACTCTTGCGGGACACTCTTGTAGGACACTCTTGTGGGACACTCTTGTGGGACACTCTTGTGGGATACTCCTGTAGGACACTCTTAAGGGACACTCTTGTGAGACACTCTAGTGGGACACTGTTGTGGGACAGTCTTGTAGGACACTCTTGTGGGACACTCTTGTAGGACACTCTTGTGGGACACTCTTCTGGGACACTCTTGTAGGACACTCTTGTAGGACACTCTTGTGGGTCACTCTTGTGGGACACTCTTGTAGGACACTCTTGTGGGACACTCTTCTGGGACACTCTTGTAGGACACTCTTGTGGGTCACTCTTGTGGGACACTCTTGTGGGTCACTCTTGTAGGAAACTCTTGTAGGAAACTCTTGTGGGACACTCTTGTGGGACACTCTTGTGGGACACTCTTGTGGGACACTCTTGTAGGACACTCTTGTGGGATACTCCTGTGGGACACTCAGACTCTCTTCCAGCTCCCCAGATACTCCGCGTACTAAAGTTGTACTACAAGGTCGCCAGTTCTCAGCTTCCAGCTCCCCAGATACTCCGCGTACTACAGTTGTACTACAAGGTCGCCAGTTCTCAGCTTCCAGCTCCACAGATTGCTCCGCGTACTAAAGTTGTACTACAAAGTCGCCAGTTCTCAGCTTCCAGCTCCACAGATTGCTCCGCGTACTGAAGTTGTACTACAAAGTCGCCAGTTCTCAGCTTCCAGCTCCACAGATTGCTCCGCGTACTAAAGTTGTACTACCGAGTCACCAGTTCTCATCCCCAGATACCCCGCGTACTAAAGTTGCACTACAAAGTCGCCAGTGCTCGCCTGCATTTCGCCCTCGACACGCACGATCTCCGTAGAGGGTTGCGCGGGCACCGGACAAATCGCACTCTCGCCTGCGTTTCGCGCACTCGACACGCACGATCTCCGCAGAGGGTTGCCCGCGCATGGGACAAATCGCACTCTCGCCTGCATTTCGCGCACTCGACACGCACGATCTCTGCAGAGGGTTGCGCGTGCATGGGACAAATCGCACTCTCGCCCGCATTTCATTCACTCGACACGCACGATCTCCGCAGAGGGTTGCGCGTCAAGTCTCCAAAACGAGCGTTTCGTACGAGACTTCCTCAAAAACTCACACATCAAAGTCTGCAAAACGAGCGTTTCGTACGAGACTTCCTCCAAAAGTCAAGCGGAAACACCCATCGGAGCACACACATCACGCAGCCCTGCCAAGCAGTTTCGCGATTCCAGCCCCTCCAAACAACGTCCGCTCAGACGCCAATCTCAATGTGACAGCGACATTCACCTCTACCACAACTCACAACCTCACGATTCCCTGCGCCTGCCACGAATCTTTCCCCATCCGCACGTCTAACGCGCACAAAGTACTGCGCCTGCCACAAAATGTCACCTCCCTCACACCTTGCAACCTCACGATTCCCTGCGCCTGCTACGAGAATCGCACTTCCACGCTTCAAAACCCGCACGAAGTCCTGCGCCTGCCACGAAAAGTGACAATATCATCTCACGTGAGCTTCAACAAAATTTGCACCACACCACACGTTTGGAATGATTTCGACCCGTTCTGAGCACACTGCCATCCACCAGAATCGCCATTTCAGCTGAGACTTGTCACGAAAACACAGCTTCGATGCCACACCCCGCAACGCAAATCCCAATGGCACGGCCACATCCAACACCCCAAAAACACGACTCTCCCAACGCTAATCCCAATGGAACTGCGCAGCAATCTGCAGACCTCACAAAACGCTGCGCCTGTGCAGCGAAATGCATCACGTTTCTTGCGCGACGTGTCGGTGTCATGCAAATCACAATGGAATAGCGGCGCAAACTGACACGTGACACATCCATGCAAAGTCACTTGCAAAAGCTTCCCCCAATGGCAGCAAATTTGAGACGCGACGACGACGACACGACGACGAGAGACGACGAGAGACGACGACAGACGACGACAGACGACGAGAGACGACGAGAGACGACGACACGACGCAAGCCATGCAAACACAGCTCCAACCCCCAGACCCCCAACTATAAACGGGAACCCTTCGCTACGCATTCGGGAAAAACAACACAACAAAAAACAAGAAGCAGACCAACCAAGACTTGAGTACCACAACGACAAGAAGTCCAGCTACTAACATCTCTCCAAACCTTCGACCCTATCCCTAACGGAATCCCATTGAAATCCCTGACTTGCAACATGTGACAACTATGTTGGGCGGCTGTTTTTGTCTCTACCAACAACAACAACAACAAGAACAAGAAGGTACAAACAAAAACTGCAACCCCGTTACACCACATCTTCGTTCTTTTTCTCTACAGGGGGGTAGAAACAAATTCTGGGACCCCGTCGTTGTTTTTTGACCCCCCCCCAAAACAACCAGACAACAAGCACTTTACTACTACTACTACTAGTGGTAGACACCCCACCCCTCCCACGTTGGCACCCCTGCCCTCTTCTCCTGGCATGGTGGGCTGGTGGGCGGTGGTGGTGGTGGTGGGAGGTGGTGGGTGGTGGTGGTGGTTGGTGGGGTGGTGGACTGTGGTGGTCAGTCCAGACCCTGGTTGGTGAGGTGGTGGTGGTGGTAAAGACGATGCACTCGACCATAGCTCAAACCAGATTCTATAGATGCAATTGTTTATTTAGATTCTGCGCAACCAAAATGTATAATATATATTTAGATAGATAAATGACGATTGCCAGTGATATCGTGTCGTGTCGTTGCCGTCGTAAACGTTCTCGTGTCACGTCGTCGTCATCGTTTTCATTCCCACGGGCGGCCATTATAAAATCAAGGATCCACACTCCGATAGTTTTTTAATGTCAACTTTGCAGATTCCAATCTTGCACTCGGTAACCCTCCCTGATTTTATAGTGGCTCAATGTTTGCACGTGTTGTGTTAGAAGCAGCCAAATGCAGTGGGATAACAGATAGTTCGGCTTGCAAGTTTTTAGAGATACATTTTCTTGTTTTCTAGAGTTTACAGGGTGACAATTTCCAGTTTATTTGGCGTTGTATCTAATTACAAAATCCGGGGTGCGAGCTTCACCCGTAATTCACACGGATTTTTTGACTATGTTTTACCTTTGGGACCAGTGTTTGGAGAGAGGGCCAACTCATGAACTGCCCCAAGGAATAAGGAACGGCGCAACACTTAGGGCATTACAACATGTCAACACTCACATTCCTCACATTCAAATTCGCTACCGTACAACCTTACTGGGATGCGAAGTGTTCAAACTGAAGCGGTGCAATTTTGCAAGGCTTAGCTTAGAGCCGCGTGCCAAAGCGGAGATGCGACCACAGTCTCTTATGCAACAGGCGCGGGCACCTACTACCCTGTGTGTCCCAGATTAATTTTTGTCGATTCGATGTTGTTACAATTGTGGCTTGGACGTTTGTTTCTTCATGTTTCTTCAAAAGGCAGTCCACTTTGACAAGTTGTATCAAAATCAAGTTATATAGGACATATACACCCAGATAGTCCACTGCCTGTGTTCGAGGCAGGTGGCCTTGTCGGTGGCCTTGGATCCCGCTTTGGCGTCTTTGGCAAAGGGCAAGGGGAGACCATAAATGTGTGAGGCGAGATGAGAAAATGGAAACGAATTTGACGCGCGCTTGCAAACTCAATGCGCAACGAAGAGTTGCAGGGACCTGCGGCGCAGCCCATGGTACATGAACCCACTCCTTCAGATAGTTGACATGAGCTGCCGGCTCTTGCAGTTGGCCTTATGTATTTTTCACGACTAAGGCCCTTCTGCCACACCAAAATTGCTGAAGTGCCTTGCGCTTACACGGACTGCGTTCCGTGTACCACCTCCAGTCGTGCCAGATTAATGGCAAGGTTTGGCGTCTGCAGTGGCATGGTGTAAGCAAGGTGAGGCCAATATGGTAACATTGTTACAACACCTACAATGGCTCAGCTCAGATGCAGTCAAAATCAAACGTTGCATCAGGGCGCTGTGGTCCCTTGCGAGCGGTGCAACTACCATGGCATGAAGCCAAGAGAACCTGTGACTGACAGGCAACGCCGATCTTGAATCCTTACACATGTTTTGCTTACATACAATTATACAATAATTACAATATATACATAATATTACATACATCATATCATACAATGGCTATCCTTATCAGTCCTTGTCTATCCCTTGCATGGGCATTTGCAGACACATGAGGGGCAGCCGCCACAGAGCTCCATCAGCACTCCGAAGGAGCACGAGGGCATTGCCTGTGCCCAAGCGAGGGGGGACGGTTGTCATTTTGTCAACCAGGATGGTCGTCACTTGCTGCATCCTACTACGGTCCTACTACGTCACCACCTTTTTATTTTCCTTGCAATCATTATGGGCTTATTTTCACCAGGCTACTTTGTGCGCAGCTTCTTTGCTGCTTTGTTGGGGGTTTGCTGTTCCTGTTTAAAGCATTATTGTGCATTATGGCTTTACTTCACTACATCCACATCACACACGCACATACCACTCATCATGTCTTCACACATCACATCATGATATCATTCATCAGTGTTTCAGAGACAGATTTCTTTACAAGTTATATATGATTCATGCGTATCCACTCAACCGCATCCACTCATTTGCACTCAGTTCCTTTTTCGTCGGGACACGTGGGGTTGTCCATCTCTTTGGTGTAGCAGTCTTTTTGCAAAGTGTTCACATGTGTTCACCATTCAGGTTGAGCGGTGTGCGAGGTAAAGCGCATTTGCTCAATGCGCTTACAAGGCCGTCCTTTTAGCCGCCCAGCAACCTCAGCAACTCCAACCACCCAGCTATGGTTAAACTTGACAGGTATCGTTATCAGTCCGTGATGCTGAGAGGAACAAGGACTTGATCACTTTGCAACAGCTGATTGTAACACCTCGCTCACACATGCAGTTTCTGCTGAAGGATGAGAACCCACGCCCACACAGGTAGGACAGGGATATTTGTTGGACAACTCGAGCGATTTGAGCAATTTTGGTGCTGAGTGCATTTTGTGTGTGAACACCCTGGCAGGGAGAATCCGCCTTTGTCAATCTCGACCTGTGCTGGCAGTGAGTGGCTCAGTTGTCCTACGTCACAATGGTCCGTCCGGGACAGTTCAAACAAGTCTACCCAATCCATGTCATTGATTGGCACATCAACATTTGTCTCCCTGGATGCAGTATCACATACAAGTTGTAATGTTCGATCTTAATTAAAGGGGATCCCCCTCCCAGCAAACAATCGGAGGTGAGTGAATAGAATCAACAACACCAAAAGGATTAGTAGCAGTTTTGGTATCATATTCTCCTTCATATTCATATTCATCATCATCATCATGATGTTCTTCCGGTTGATCTCTCGCTCCTTGATCACGTTCCCATTCGTACCAATCTTGGCGAGCTTCTTTGATGCGGGTATTGTTCCAATGGTCGTCATTGAATGTTGTTCCATAGGTGTTCCAACTGCGATGATTCCATTCAATCCTTCGCCAGGAAGTACCTTGTCCTTTGGAACTCTTCCCACTTCCACTTCCTTTTCGCTGATATTTTTGGGCTTGGTTGCGGTGGCTTGATGAAGCTGCTTCGGATGGTGGACGTTCAAGCTCAGGTGCGATGCTAGGGCGGTTTGTCTGCCATTTCCCTGTCACGACATGTTTCCCATATTCTTGGTACTTGTCCATCAGCCTTTCTACTTGATCTTTCTCCAACATGCTATTCCAGCGATCAAATGCTCTTCGGTCCGTGTGCTGGGTCATTGTCTCCAAGGTCTTCTGTGCCAAAGATGGTAAAGTGACTTTTGCTTGATCCATCACCAATTGGCATCACTCTATCCCACTTGTTGAGAGGCCTTGAATATAAGACATCCAAAGGATCGATATGGATCGATGCATTTGTGCATGTCATTGTTGATCAAGTCATCTCTAAAGTATGAGTAGGACGTGACGTTGTAGATCGCGTTCATGCACTTCTTGATCATCCTTGACATTGCATCCTGTTTGGACTTCTTGCTGGATTCCACCATAGATTGGACAGTTCCCGGTGCCGGGCGATCAGTCTCACCAAACTCTTCTTTGAATGTTGCCGGTGTGTATCCAAATGCGATTGCCTGTAGTGCAAACTGTCCAATCATCTGTTCTCCTCGCAACATGTGCCATGCTTCATCCGGAGTAATTTGTTTTGCTTCTGCGAAAACTCGCATCTGCTCATCCGTTGGATCTTTGGGCATGTCGTCATCATCGAATCCGTTGAAAACTCCATTGGTGAAGTCTGACATGACGTCCAGTCTCTTTCTGATGATGAGTTCCTTGAACCTGGCGATGCCGGTCTGGTGGTACGAAGTGTACATAAGTTTTATCACCTGGCCCATGCAGCGTATGAAATACCTGTCCATGAGTCCTGATGACCCTTTTCCCGTGTCTTGGCATCCAGCTTCATCTTGCGAGTAGAAAGGTAATGGTTCTGGATGTCTACACCATTTTGGAAGTTCATGATTGGCAAGATGTTCTTGTGGATCGAAGGCTCTAGGTCCTGCGTTCTCATAATCTTCATCATGCACTCTTCCACTTTTGGATTTGGCTTCATGATCTTCTGTCTCAACTTCTTCAATCACCCTTTCTGAAGATGTTGGGAACTCAACTGTGCTTCGAAGAATAGCGTCTTGTTCATCCATGACTTCCTCAATCTCGGGAGCTTGGGAATCTCGATCGTAATCGACTTCATTTGCATCAAAGGATGACGTGAAGATGTTTTGACCTCCTTCTCCTTTTGATCCTAAGCTCTTCTTCTTGAGGTTGTCAATGTGTTCTTGGCTGATTTCCTCGTCTTCCTCTTCAACCTCGATCTGAGACTGTAGTGCAGTCTTGACCACGTCCATCCTCGCCTTATCCATGATTTCTTGCTCCTGCTTGTCAGGATCGTCCGGCTGTTCCATCTCAACATCATCTCCCTTTTCCACCTCGTCATCGTCAATCTCGATCACAGTGTTTGTGGAATTTGTGGAGATGGTGTTCTTGACTCCGCAGCTATAGAACCGTCCATGACAATGTAAACATAAGGTGAAGATGTTCGGTGTCACATTCATACATACGGGACATAGGATGTTGCCGTCGACGTTGCTGTATCCTTCACAAGTCCTTGCGATGATCGTGTTCCATGGTTCTTGTTTCGTCCTCTTTGTATCACCATCATTCACGAGATCATCCAGCTTGCGAATGTTATCATCTCTTCTTGTACATTCAGCGACAACTTCTCTTGCCCTTTCGATGATTTGGTCTTTTGTTGCGATCTTGTTTGAATGCTTTGCTGCTGTGACGAGGTCGTTAGTAACCCCTTTCGCCAACAATCTTTTCCATCCTCCTTCGATTTCTTGGTACCAAGCTCCTCTGACATTTTCCCACGGCACTCCCTTTCGGCAATGCGTGCTCCGAGGTTCTGCAGATAGGCAATTGGTACATATAAGGCTACCGGGATATCGTCCGTTGGGATCTTTGACTTCAATAATGTAGTTGCTCTTCTGTCCCAAGGTGCAAAATGATTGAAGAATGAACTTCCCCTTATACCTTTGTCTCCACCTGGTATGATTCCATGCTTCATTATCGATAGTATCTTCCCAAGGGTCGTCACATGGAAACTTCCTCCAAGCTGCATGGCAATGGTGTCCAAAATGTCGTGCGACGTGAGGCGTGGATCGAGGACGGCATCATTCTCATTCTTGTCCGTATGTCTCGACTCGAGGTTGTGTGATGACACTGCCCTCATTGCTACTGGAAACATCCATCTGTCGTTCTCTCTGTAGTATCTCACGTCATTGGGCACGAGGTAGTTGTCCTCCCAGTACTCCCTTTGTTCTTCATTCGTGACATCACCGATCGAAATTCTAATTGCAGCGATCTGGAATCTGACGCGGTTCTGCAACTTCTTTGAGTACCACATGGCTTGACAACACCGTCGGTACCGTGTTGCGAGAACATCATCCAGATAGTTTCCTCGCTCAGCTTCTCTGGTGATTCGATTACTGTTGTCATTGAATATATGTCCATACATGAGCACATCATTGATGTTCACCCATCCACCTTCATTGCATGGAAGAATGTCATGGTGTCTACCTGTGCGACCGGCCACTTCTGCCTTTCCGGTTTGGTGTCTCAGAACTTTGTTGAGTCTTCTGCTGATTCCATCGACCGTGGCCCAATCATCAGTATTCTTTTGGATGAATGTCCCTTGGTCAAGGACAGGTGGAGCGGTGTATTTCCCCGCTCAGTCTTCTTCACCATTCCATTTCCTGATGTAATAGGTAGTACCATACTGTGGGATGATCTCAATGTTGCCTCGATCGCAACCGAATCTGTCGATATGCGTGTTTATGCACTTGTCTCGTATCGTCTTTCAGGTTTGCCACTTTCGGAAGCTTGGAGCCTGCTGATTGTGCCCTCATCAATGTTTCCTCAAGCGACCTGACATCTGGTGGTCCATTTCATCGACGATCGAACAAAGGTCCACGGGTCCATTGAATCTCGTGACGATCGTGGCATTGTCGAATGATCGCTTCATGGATTCGACGGCATTCTTGGATGACTACTCTTCGCTATTTTAACCTAGAAGCTGAGGATCAAAAAAAATTTTTTACCATCCATGTTAGTGTAACTTTAGGATTTGCATTCTCAGGTGCTATGTTAGTCAAGACTGGTAGGAGCAGGAGCCATTCCACGAGGTCCATGTTAGTGGAACATTGTTGGGAAAGGAAGAACTAGCAGCTTCCATGTTAGTGGAAGGTTAAAGAAATGTATGATTTAATGTTAACATGGAATCTGTGAGGATTGTGGTTGATCTCGGTTCATGCCGGTGGACTTGTTAACAAGGAAGCTGTGCTGCTTGTTTTGGGTCAAAGCTTGCCAGCACCGGGAGAAGGAAAGAGAGAAAGAAAAGGAGAGAGAGAGAGAGAGAGAAAAAAAAAGATCACCCCAACAATCAGGAAGCTCAAGAGCGCTTCTCTGTCTTGCAAACAGCAATCCAAGAATTCGATTAGGTACTGTAGAGTAATCAAGCAATTCGCGTTTGGCCAGGGGTTGGAAAAAAAAGATGGATTTGCTGGGATGTGCTGGATTTGTTCTTGTCTAGCTTCCATGTTAGCATTTGTTTCATGAAGTTTCTTGTGCACTGGGAGGGAGTTTTGCCCAGCTTCCATGTTAGTGTGCGTTTCTTGCATGAGCGGCATGTGTATGGGCTGGCTGAATTGATTTCTTGCCTTCCATGTTAGTGTGATTCTTGTAGATGGCCACCTTTGTGCACCTTCCATGTTAGTAGTTGGTGGCACCCCTGTCAGATCACTTACACTAACCTGGCAGGCAGAACATAGTGGTTTGAGGTGGTGTTAGTGCACACTTTTGAGTTCTCAGGTTCTACGTTAAAATAGGGAAGTGTAGTCCTTTAGTTGGAGGGGTCAGTGACTCTCCACCCAATTGTGCTGTTTCTTCAGGCAGGTCAATGTCCTCCATTTCGACATCATCGTCATCATCTTTTGCAGTCTTTGCTCTCTTCTTTTCTCTTTCGGTTTGGTCTCTTTGATGATCACCTCGTCATCATGTTCGATTTACAGCGAGCACCTGTACAACCTACTATGGAAACAGTTCGTTTCTATATACATCAAACATCTGCTAGCCCGCCTTAACATCCCCGATGCTTTGGAATCTATGTCCAAGAGACATGTGTAAGTCTGGCCTCATCGGTTTTCGTCCAGGTCCTACATGTGGTTTCGCCACGAGAGCGCGGGGATGGCCAGGTCCTGCAGGCGAGGGATCACGGAGGGAACAGATACTACCACAGACCGACAAGGGACATTAGCAAACAAAGTAATGTGCAGCAGTAGCAGTACAAGACCGACAAGACTCTACACCAACTTGTGTGCCCCAGCCTTGTGGAACTCATGACCACTCCACAGTGCGACAGTGCTTGGCCTGTCGGGTTTGATCAGTGGGACATAGTGCTGCCAGGCTAGCCTGGTTCTAAACATAGGGCACTCGTGATGTGTGAGCATGCAGACGCACAGACTAGCCCCCGACCAGCGGGAAAAACAGTTTGTGTGGCGGTTTTTGCAACATGGTTGAGCAAGAGCATGTTGGAGCTTAGGCAATTATTGCATGTTTGATACAGCACGCCGCTGAGTTGGCTTGCGCAAAGCTTCTGGTTGTGCTGGGGCCGCATTCTGCAGTTGTTGAGGCTGGCACAAATCGTTGCATGTTGAGTACCTGACATTATGCTATGCGCACATACGTATGTGCGCCTTTGTATCCAACTGCTACAGTGTGCTTTTGGACTCCAACTGGTTAGCACTTTAAGTTTTGCTTAGACCAGGTTTGAAGAGTAGTGGCAGTGGTGTCAATTGTGTGTGGGTGAGAAATTTGTTCTTTTACAGTAAAGGTGTTTTCCGCTTGCTCGTTACCGTAGGCGTGCATTTGTATCATGGCATTACAGTTGCTGGCTGGGGAAGGGTGCGACTTTTCACAACTCCTGGTTTTCAATGGGCGCGATATACTGGAAATAGTGAAGAGCCGCAATGCCGGTTCAAGCCATGAATGGGCTCAAGACGCTTGCGTTGCTTTCTGACCTTCAGGTTCGACGGCAAGTGCTTCGGCATGTAAGATGGAAAGAGCTAGCACGTGCAGAAGGAAGCAGAGCTTAGGGCAGCCTCGCAAGTTTTCAAGCAACACACAAAGTCTCAAAAGGATTTTGAAGTCATCCAAAGTCTAAGTTTCCTTTGTCTGCAGGACCAGGTTTGCGATGGTCACATGCAACAAGGCGGGCAGAAGTTTTGCAAGGCTCTGTGAGGATCAGAGCGTTTCACATGTTTTCCTTCACAGTTGGGTTCCGGCGGTTTGGTTGCCTCAGGCCCAGTGGATGGTCGCTGCTTTGGCATGGTCACATGCTGAGGTCCAAAGAGGTATATAGATCATGTCAAATCCACTGTGGAGCCAGGTCCATTAAGCGCGTGCTAAGCGAATCGGCCGATAGGTTTCCAAGAACTAAATTGTACAAATCCAAGCAGCTTCAGGTGCATTGAAGTGTGCATCCCTTGAAAGCTGCCGTGTCAGGAACACAGCTTCCGGTGGGTGGCCCGGACGTGCCAACACCCGAGACAGATTATTGCTTATGGTTTCATTTGGTCCTTGGCTTTTCATTCAGCTGCAGCGCCCATTAGGTTTTGTGTGAATGGTTTGACGATGCAACCCGTGATGAGCATCCAGCCGCTTGGACACTTGAGGATGTATTTAATTGATGTTTAATTGTTTAGGTTGACAGAATTTGCGCCCTAGGTTCCACAATCACCATTGTGAAAGGAGTTGGCCTCAGTCTTTGCATGCGTGAGTATATATATATATATTGGCATGGCATTGTCTTCAAGATCCTCGAGCCGTTGAATCCCTCTGGACGTTTCGTGGTTCTGATGACTTTGGACCTTTCGGTGTTTTGAGTTGATTTTTTGCATTTCAGGTGCTGCATTGGGCCAGGCCACATTGCCCGCAAGTGGGCAGGCAGAGCGATCGCCCACAAGACCTTCGCAAGTGGTGTCTCTCCCGGTGCCCTCAAGCTGTAAAAAACAAGATTTTAAAGAGCCGCATTTGTGTAATGTCCTGTCTTTGCGTTATTTCCTTGTTCAGTATTGAGTATTCCCTTTTCAGGCCGGGCCGGAGAGTTCTTTCAGCTTCACGAGGCTGCAAGTCCTTTGATGTTTCGCACGTGCAGATTGTCTTTTTTGACAAGTTTTGCGGGCGCTCTATGTTCGTCAAGATGTGTTCCTTTTGTTCGCCCGGCCCTGCCTGAATTCAGACTTGCGGGGCCAGACCAGCTGTGACTGTGATTACCTTAAAGTGGCTTGTGAATGGATCAGCCAGGAGGAACCATGGGGCTGTCTTCTATCAAAGGTCAGGCCCTCACACTCTTCTTTACCTTTGGGTCAATGTCGTAAAGAGAGAATTAGGCTATGCCAGCATGGACAATTTTGATTTTTTGTATTTACATACATAGGTGTAAGGGTGTCAGGACTGCCCCAGCGACGTCACATACTCAAACATATGAAAACAACTCTGCACCAGGGCAATGCAAGCTGCATTTCACACATTCGGCAGCTATTGCTGGAAGCCCCAGGAGTGCCCACAGTGAAAGCAAGCGAAACGAAGCATGAAAGCGTAATTTTGAAGTACGTGGTGTGAATGAACACAAGGTGTGAAAGACAGCCCTCAACAGTCAAATTCAGCCAAGGTCCTGTGAGAAAGTCCGTGCAATTGACATTGGCAGTGTGGATTGGCTCACCATGAGGGAGAACATGTGGAAGGCCTTAGCCGGACACTCAGCACTAAGTCGATCCAAGTTGTTTGTTACATATAACTTTTATGACTGAGTTACGACATAAAACATTTTGAACCTCGGCCCCCAGGTGTTTGCTCGAGAAGGGTCTGGTGAAGGTTTCCGTCAAGGTCTGCACAGGCACTGTGCAGTTTGATGATGTTTGATACAGGGGCCAATGTTGCATTTCAGAACAAAACAAGGCCACAGAGAGAGAGAGTGACCAAAAGAGACAGGGAGAGAACGAGAATCGGGAGATACGAGACTGTGGACCGAGGCAGTTGGACAAGATCGCCTTTGAAGCTGAGCATGGAGACTTCACGTTGGACATGGGGTCAGCAACTCAGCGCTGATGTCTTCCCTCAACTTCCCGTCATATGGTTGTTGCGGTTTCATGTTCATTGCTTGCTTGCAAACGGAGGGTAGGCCGTGAATCGTGGAGCTAGAAGCCTATACAACGAAAGCCAGCCGAATGCTAGGCTGAACGAACTGAGTTTTGGGGTGTGGGAGGGTGGTTGCGTGCCTAGATGATGCGAGTGATGCTAGACTAGTTAGGCTTGCCTTTTTTGCATCATCAACCAGGGTTGCACACAATGACATAGGCATGTAAAGGGCACAAAGGTAGAAAAACGCGCTTTTGTATACATGTAACACAACCTACTGCCAGACATATCCTCCACAAAGGTAGAAAAGTTTCGTTGATGCCGTGATGCCCATTAATTGTATAGCCAACTATTTCACTGCTAGCGCCATACCTCCTCACGGGCTGCTTTTCGAGAAACTAAATCTAGGTGATGGCCACCGCGTCCGCAGCGCGCCTGCAGCGCGTTCGCAGCGCGCTGGGCTCAACAAGACTATATTTATTGAAGGGCGCAGCCAGTATTTTTACAGTCCGTTTTTGCAAAGCAGTCATAGTTTGATGGCATTGGTAATGCGAGCGCGTTCGCAGCGCGCTGGGCTAAACAAGACACTATAGTAACGTATTGAAAGACACAGCCAATAATATTTTATTGTTTTTTAACAGTCCGTATTTGCAAAGCAATCATAGTTTGATGGCATTGGTGAATGCACGAGCGCGTCCGCAGCGCGTCCGCGGTGCGTCCGCAGCGCGTCCGCAGCGCGTCCGCTGCGCGTCCGCAGCGCGTCTGCAGCGCGTTCGCAGCGCGCTGGGCGAAACAAGACTATGAAGCACGCACACAGCCAGTAGTGTGTATAAAAGAGCAGTCATTTCAATTTGAATGGCATTGGTGAATGCACGAGCGCGTCCGCAGCGCGTCCGCAGCGCGCCCGCAGCGCGCCCGCAGCGCGTCCGCAGCACGTCCGCGCAGCGCGCTCGCAGCGCGCTAGCAGCGCGCTCGCAGCGCGCTGCGCGTTTTTGTATTCTTAAGGACACAGCCAGTATATTTACAGTTTGTGCATACAAAGCAATCATAATTTGCCGCATTGGTGAATGCACGAGCGCGTCCGCAGAGCGTTTGGGCACGAAAATAGCGTAAACATTGCTTTTCCTTATTCGATGCAAAAAGCGCAACCCAAAGCAGGCCACGCATAGAGCGCTGGAGCCAAGTCCACATAATAACTTTCCTTTTTCAAGGCTGGCCTCCAAGCGCTCCACCGACCCCCCCTCCTCTGCCTTCTTAACCCGGACCCGTTTAAGCTTTGAGCATCGAAATTGCGTAAACATGGCCCGCTTAAGCCCACCCGCGTCTTTTAGCATCGAAATTGCGTAAACATGGCCCGCTTAAGGACCAAATTGCGTAGCCATGGCCCGCTTAAGCCCAACCCCGCGTCTTTTAGCATCGAAATTGCGTAAACATGGGCCGCTTAAGGACCAGACCCGCGTCTTTTTGCGTCGAAATTGCATACACATGGCCCGCTTAAGAACCAAACCCGCGTCTTTTAGCATCGAAATTGCGTAAACATGGCCCGCTTAAGCCCAAACCCGCGTCTTTGAGCATCGAAATTGCGTAAACGTGGCCCGCTTAAGCCCAAACCCGCGTCTTTGAGCATCGAAATTGCGTAAACATGGCCCGCTTGAGCCCAAACCCGCGTCTTTTAGCATCGAAATTGCGTAAACATGGCCCGCTTAAGGACGTCTTTGAGCATCGAAATTGCGTAAACATAGCCCGCTCAAGGCCGAGACCCTTGCCCTTTTCGATGCAAATAGCGCAGCCCTAAGCAGGCCACGCGTAGAGCGCCTGACCCCCCGGGGGGTCTGCGCAGCAGGGCCGGAGCCAAGTCAACATAATAACTTTCCTCATTCGGGGCTGGCCTTCAAGCGCTCCACCGACCCCCCCCCCTTCTGCCTTCTTAACCCGGACCCGTTTAAGCTTTCCGTTTTCGGGCAAAAACCGCATCTTTGAGCATCGACATTGCGTAAACATGGCCCGCTTAAGCCCAAACCCGCGTCTTTTAGCATCGAAATTACGTAAACGTGGCCCGCTTAAGATCAAATTGCGTAGCCATGGCCCGCCTAATTAACCCCAAGCCCGCGTCTTTTAGCATCGAAATTGCGTAAACATGGCCCGCTTAAGGACCAAACCTGCGTCTTTTAGCATCGAAATTGCGTAAACATGGCCCGCTTAAGCCCAAACATGGCCCGCTTAAGCCCAAACCCGCGTCTTTGAGCATCGAAATTGCGTAAACATGGCCCGCTTAAGCCCAAACCCGCGTCTTTTAGCGTCGAAATTGCGTAAACATGGCCCGCTTAAGGACCAAACCCGCGTCTTTTAGCATCGAAATTGCGTAAACATGGCCCGCTTAAGGACCAAACCTGCGTCTTTGAGCATCGAAATTGCGTAAACGTGGCCCGCTTAAGGACCAAACCCGCGTCTTTGAGCATCGAAATTGCATAAACATGGCCCGCTTAAGCGCAAACCCGCGTCTTTTAGCATCGAAATTGCGTAAACATGGCCCGCTTATAAGGACCACACCCGCGTCTTGACTAGATTTAAGAATCTTACAGTAACAATCCTTGCCAGCACAGTGCTCAGCAAAAAATATTACTTTCTTTTGCAATATTTGTACGATCCCTGCCAGCGCAGCCAAAACTTGACTACTTTCGAAAAGAATACTCAATGCCTTCAGCCAAAACTTGACTAGCTTCAAAAACCTTACTTTGTCACAATCCCTGCCGGCACAGAGCTCTTCAGCCAAAACTTACTAGTTTAAGAAGCTTTCAACGAGGCCAGGAGCACTGTGCTGTCAGGGATTGTAACAAGTTGCAATCCCTGACAGCACAGTGCTCCTGGCCTCGTTGATCATCGCAAAGGAACCGTTTGTACTTAGTACATATTTCATGGTGTTTTGTAAGCTGATTTGTTGCTCGACTCGTCAACTTATCGTAAAGGGCTTTGTTGAACTTTCATTTTGTCTGCAAGTTCACTGCAACTTCACTCGTGGCTTCACTCGTGGACGTACCCGTGAAAACACTTTTGGTTCACTCATACTTTTACCCGTTGGTGAATTTTGTTCAAAATCATGTCTAGTCACTTTTGAGTCATTTACTTTTATTTGAGTAATTCCTAATAAGTTTAAATCCTATTTGTGACAACTTTATACTTAAACATGATTCACTATGATCAAAACAATTTTAAACATGCAAAAAAATGACTAGCCAGAGTGCCCTGGAAGGGTGCCCATCTCAACCCTCAACTTTGATTTGGTGAAAACATGGCCCGCTTAAGGACCAAACCCGCGTCTTTGAGCATCGAAATTGCATAAGCATGACCCGCTTAAGCCCCGCGTCTTTGAGCGTCGGAATTGCGTAAACATGGCCCGCTTAAGGACCAAACCCGCGTCTTTTAGCATCGAAATTGCGTAAACATGGCCCGCTTAAGCCCAAACATGGCCCGTTTAAGCGCAAAGCCGCGTCTTTGAGCATCGAAATTGCGTAAGGATGGCCCGCTTAAGCACAATGTCGAGTCTTTGTAGACATGGTCCGCTTGAGGCCCAAACCTGCGTCTTTGAGCACCGAAATTGCGTAAACATGGCCCGCTTAAGCCCAAAACCCCGTCTTTGCGCATGAAAAGTGCGGCCCGCTTTGACCAGCAAAAGATAGCGCAAACAAAGTTCAACATCAAAACTAGTTAAATATCAAGGGGTCAAATGCTCATGATGTTGTTTTTCAACATGGCCCGTGGCGCGGCGTGCTTGGAGTGGGAGAGTTGGATGTGTCATGCTTTCCTTGACAGGATTGTGCCAATGTAAAGGTTGAAAGGTTCCCTGATTTAGACTCAATGACATCTGACAAAATTTTACATTTCTACCTTTGCGCCTGCGTTCTGCGTGCAACCCTGTCAACTGACCAAGTGAGAGGTTGAGATAACCCCGCGCTCAGCAGTTTAGTATTGGCATGCACCTTAACACATCTTAACACTACTAATGCATTCCTGCCCCAGAAAACGATAAGAGTAAACCTAGCTTTCAAGTCTTTCAAGTCTCACTTTCCATTCCCTATCCGAACTGTGCTGTTTGGTCCATATGCTGCCAGTACATGAGCCACGAAAATGGCAATCTGCAGAGACGTCAGGAACGATAACAAAGCGATAACGAAAACGATAAGGAAATGTAGCAAAAACAACCTGGTGGACAAGTGCCCGTTTGACTGTTTTCATTAGACCTTTTCAAGGGCATAAGTGTGCGTCTTGTTTAGCTCTTTATGTCTGATCTTTGCTGCCGCCATGTCTTTACCACCAAAGGCCATGCATGGAAACCTGCTAATTTGACAGTTCTTGTGTGCAAGGAGCCCAACACCTGAGAAAACAATGAGTAAAATACGATAACATGATTTCCAGGTATTGCAAAAGACATGTTTTTCAATACCCCAAGTAAAACGCACTGGCAATGTTTTGATTACGCCGCTTTCCCCCAGCAGGCTCTAGGTTCATCCCCCTATAACCCACCTGACTATACTGTATAAAAAAGCACAACGTGGCTCTCCCACAGCAGCCTTTGGGCTCATCCCGAACCAAACAGCCAAGTGAAAAACACAACTCTTTGCAATGTTTGTCCACTTCGCTTTCCCCCAGCAGGCTCTGGGCTCACCCCCTCACACACTTATAGAAATGCGTACCCATGTGAACGCGGTGCCACACGCCAGCCTAAGAAACCAAATCCTGAAAAACAAGTTAAAGGCCAGAAGTCAAACTCCACGACGCGACGATTCGACAGGATGACGGCGTACCGTGCGTGATTGCAGATGCATTAGCACTTTACCAAAGGTTTTAAGACTTGCAGGCACGCCGAGTTGATCACACTCGGTATCCCGTCATTGTGGTAGCTTCGTTGGGTGCGGTCCCACAATCACGCCGCACTCCCCTGCTGAACAAAGGA